TGGAATCATATATTGGTGCATGGTCAAAATCAGGCTCTTCATTTACACCTGGGGTCTTTGGGTTCTGAATAAAAATCTAATCAGTCCTGTACTGTGGAGTTTTCTCTTTCTGTTTATGAAATTTTGTGATTTCCCACATGGATGCTACTGTGAGATTACTAAGGCTGTGTAAAAGTATGAACTGCTTTACGATTGGAGTCCTAAGTCTCATCGACAAACTTTTGGATCACTCCTTTGAGCATTCCAATGAAGACACAAAATTCATTGTCAAGGAAAACATCTTAATGACAAAATATCTGAAAAATAAGTTGGTATTTTCATTTGTTTGTTTGTTTTTGGTACCAGGGATCGAACTCAGTACCTTGCACTTGTGAAGCAGGAGGCAGAACCACTGAGCTAAATCCCTGGCCCAGTATTTTCATTTTTTAATCAAAGTAGGGTACTGGTTAAGTGGAAAAGGGCATCCTTTGGTTAAATAACTTGAGGTTTTCAAAAAGGACTCAGATAGGTGCTACTCAAAGGACTCAATAGGTACAAAAAGATAGTCAAGATCTTGGACTAGAGATTAAAAACAGTATGTATCACCTGGGAAACTTTTACCATAAAACTGGCTGAATGGAAAAATTAACATTCTTTATCTGTTAAGAAAAATAGAAGACTACCTTGAAAAACATTTTACTTTTTAGAGAAATACACATTTCAAGGATAAATTATTGTACGGTTGGATTAGAGTTCCGTGTCTGAGGATGGGGTAAGAGGGACACTTCATCATATATTCCTATGTGCCTCCTGGATTTTGAGCCATGTGAATGTGCTATATATCCAAAAATAGAAATGCAATTTTATTTTTAAAAATAACTGTTATTAGGAAGTAAAGTGTAAATGTCCTAGATAATAGAGGATGGTAAAGAGGAAGCTCACTGGCTTTGATCAGAAGGCAAGAGGAAGTTACTCACCTAGACTGTTAACATATTTGTTAATTTAAAGTAATTTTTTTCATTTTTATTTAAATTTGGAGGTGGGGTAGTGGTAATCTATTGCTCCCACCCCCACAAAAAAATGGATCTTCTCCAACAAAAACCTTTGCTCTAATCCCCAGTGCTCAAATCCCATTAACACTAATCAGCACAATGATTAAGCATGTTGTGGCTTTAAGTACTCTCTCTAGTTGATAAGGACTACTTTGGAAAAAATGTTCCCATAGCGACAGGTAAAGGCTATCATCAAGCTCAGCTTTTCAGCACAGTACTTCATGTCTCAGATCAGAGTTTAGATTGTTTTATCATGAATCTAGAGGCTTTCTTTTTGAACTTCACTTGACTTTGTCCATTCAAAAGACACTTAGGAAGAGTCCTTCAATAAACCAGGCACAGTAGGGAGCACTGAGGAGGAGGGAGTGGGGCAGGAGGACAGAAGGAGAGCCAGGACAAAGAAGATCTCAAAGATAAGATATTGTTTCTGCCCCAAAAATTGCATCCAAAGAGGAAAGCAGCCACGATAAGAAATAAAGACATTAGGCAGAGGATTCAACCCCAAATCTATAACCAAATCTTCTCTTCACCACCAGGACTGGTCAGTTTCTAATCTAGTTTCACTTTCCCATCTTCAAGTTGCAGCACAGCTGGGTTTCCAGCTGGCTGGGGAAGAAAAGATTCTTTAAATAAACAACATTTTAAAAATATGCAGTTGCTTTTGCTATACTGAATTTTTGTGAACCACCTTCCTCTAATATGTGATTCTGGGTGCCAAATTAATTTAAAACTATCCTAAATAATGTAAACACTCCAAGAAATACACCTTGTCCATGTTCAACAACAAAGTACTGTATACTGGAAAAGTGAAAATCAGCAAGGCCCAAAGAAAGGAAAATCATATATTTATATACCCTATATATTACATCTATTCAACAAGGGAAACAGATGTAAAAACATGGATATAAGAAAGCAACAAGATAGTATGTAATTATAACAAAATATATGTGGCCATCTTTTAAAATGCAGGACTATTTGCAGAATAGGATGTTTTTATATCATGGTATGGAGTTGCTAAACCCTGTAAGGCCTTTCTAACTCTTCTTCTCCTTTCCACAGAGGCAAAGAAAACACCTTCATGTATGCAATCTTCTTAGAAATGCACAGATTTTACTCAACTCTTTACCACCAAAGGTAGTATTTCTGGATAAATCATACACATTAAATCTGTTAAAAGGCCCCTCTGGCAGGTACTGCTATTCCAGCAGCTCTGCTCTCTACCATTTCCCACCTAAGAGATAGACTTCAAATCAACATTTCACAGTTGAAATTAGCCACTCATTAGGACCTTTAGAAAGTGTCCAATATGACTCTTTCACTGATGTTGCAGAGTGTGTGTCTAGCTTTAAGCCCAATATATCCCTATATATGTTTCATTATATCAAAGTCTTGCCTCTCATCCCTAAACACAGCTTTCCAGATGACCTCCCTAGTAACCACACCTCTGAATCCCCGATATACTTAGAGCGGAAGCTGGCAAAACAAAGTAACAATTCAACCTCAGTTGCTCAATATAAACCGCCAGGACGTCAGTTTCCAAGTGCCAATTTCCCTATTTTGCAATGGGCAAATCTGCTCCAAGGAGAAAATGTTCTCAATGACCCTGTGGCCCAGAGGGCTTTCTTTAGAATAGAAAACAGAAAATGAATTTGTTAGCTATTTCCTGCTGAGCACAAGGAAGGTGTTGTGGTTAGTTAGGATGATTTTGTTTCCTTATTTAATATACCATTACAGTCTATGTTTTTTTTAACCACATAATAGAAAATAAGAAAATAAGCTTATATTCTTCTGCTATATTATCACCAGCTCCACAAATCTCCTCTCACACTTCAATTTCTAATCCCCTTGTTTATACACTATCAATTCAAAGCAATTGTTTTGCATTCTAAAATATTTGCTGCCACACACGTTCCTGCTCCAGGATAATTTATGATGTGTGAGGGCCTCCCCTTTACCAATGACTGCAGTCCTAAATTTATCTTTTTGAGAAAAGTGCTACACATGCTATTTTAATAAAATGAGATGGCCATAACCTAAAAGCAGACTGTACTTCTGACTCTCAAATGATTCAGTATCTCAGCATTTAACTGTTAAGCTATCAAAAACTCATTAAAGAAAACAAGGTGCAATTGACAATGCATAGGTGGAGGAGAGTAGGAGATGAGGGACAAAGGGAGAAACCCCTTCCTCTATGGGATTATCTGACAATCACTGTCAGGTCCTCAGTGGCCCAGGCTCTGGATCATGTGAAGCTTGCACTTGCATATTCAGGAGAAATTCACCAAAAGCCAAAACAGAAGCTGTCCTTGGACAAGGTTCAATAAATGTTTTTAATATCTATTTCCACTGCATGGTACAGTTCCACAGCTCCCCGAGGGATCTCAGACAAAATATTTAATAGAATAAAAAATTTAAAATTCTTAACTGGTCTCAATTTATCACCATAAAACATTTCAGAGCATAAAACCAACATTAAAAAGCAGTCAGTAATATTCCTCAGAGTAATATCAGAGCCATAAACTGCTGTTATCATGAAAGTTTTTTTCCCATCTTATTAAGACACTGCCAAGATTCTTCCCATTAAAGTAATTGCAGTTTAACATAGTGCCTCGATATACTCCCACAACTAAACTCCCAAAATTTGTCTCTTGGAAAAGCGGGGGAGAGAAGCTTCCAAAAGTCAAAGGCATTGATCTAGAAAGATGGGGGCAGCAAAACTTCCAGTGAGCCGTTACACACATTTTGTGATTCAAGCCTGTTTACACCACCCAGATGCAGTTGGTAAACTGGTAAACATATGAACTTCTATGAGTCTAGGTCATCTATCCCAAGCCAATGATTACATAGCCCACAGTCACACCAAATGCCATAAATTTAGGCTTAGCTGGGACAAAGTGAAGCCAAGGCACAAGATAAACTAACACCAAATACTCCACCAAGGGCAATATTCTGTTTAAAATATCTTCCCGAGAAGTAAGTGTTGAATTCAGGGACAAGGGAAAAAAGCTCTTAAGCTGACATCTCTTTGCCTTCTGAGAAAAGGGACACCTCTAGATAGACGGATTTCAGTGTTTTGTTTCTAATCACCTGCATTCCTGTGCAGGACCCACCATCATGAAGAAAAGCGATGCAGTCAGTACAACCAGCCAGCAAGATGTCAAAGCTAAATTTACAATATTCAGCAGAAGTTACTTTATATCATCATCATCATCATCATCATCATCATCATCAGACCTAGTAAGATCCTCCAGAAACCGTTATAAGAGGTGTCTGCTCACTGATCCTGGAGGTTAGGAGAAGGATGTGCTACCCACTTAGCAAAGACAGGCAATCACGATGGAGGGAAAAACAAAAAACAAAAAACCTGGAGCCACATGCAGGACAGGAAACAGTAGCAGAAAAAGTCCAACTCTGCCTGCGCCAGCTGTGTGGATGAGCAGAGCAGCGAGCCCCAAGCCCTAGAGAGGAAGGAGGGGGCGAGGGCGATCGTTCCCTAGGAGAACTTGTAAGCGGAGGCCTTCACCGCCTGGGAGTCTGCCCAGCGGCTCCTGCAGACCCTGCCAGCCTGGGCAAGGCAGGCCCTTGGGAGCAGAGCGGGCAAGGCCTCTGAGGGTCACTCCTGACTCACTGAGCCTCAGGACAGCACCGCCCGGACCTCTCCGTTTTTCCTTCCGCTACTGGGCTATGATGGCAGCTTTCCAGCCCCACATGCCATACATCAGCCGCAGATCCCCGCCGGCACAGGCCGGCACCTCCCCCGCGCCCCCGCTCC